TTGACGTCCTCAATCTCACCAAGGAAACGGCGCGTCGCTGGCCCCCTCGCCCCTCACAAACAACGTAACACACATCGAAAAGCTTGCCCACACTCACTCACACGCTCGCGCGGACCCGCCACAGGGCCGGCAGAAACCACCACCAGACCGGCAGCTGTTCAGGTCCAAGAGTCGGTTCTGAACCCGCCCCCCGAGGCTTTCTGTGAAAATACATAAATACTATCACTGACTATTACAGAGTATTTTGCATCCACTACAGATGTCTCAAGATAGGATTTCCTTTCAGGCTCACTCGCTCCTGCTAGAAACATTTCATTTCCCCCCCAGAGAAAAACCACACACGTTGTGAAAGGCATGTCTTACTGCTAACAAAAAAGAAAAAAAAAAATCCAAAACACACCCACCCACCAAGAACTGGAAAGAGCGCCCACAAGACGGAACTCCTCTCTCGTCACGCCCAACCCTCCAGTCAGCCTCTGACTTAGTGACACTTGTCTTTGTCTTCTGAGCACATCACTACTCCAACGGCACAGAAGAGCCACCTGGGCTTTAAGAAATGACTGTTAGTCTTTTGGATTAAAATAAGGAAGCGGGAGGCGTGATGACTGACTTACACACCTACACGTAGTAAGAAGGGCAGAGACGGAGGGTAATACCGCCCGTTCCCCTCTCAAGGAGGGCGCGACAGAGTCAGCGCCAGCGCCAGCGCCAGCGCCAGCGGGTTCCGGGGCGGGAAACCCGCTAGCGCCCGCCTCTCCCCTCAGGGAAAGCACGGGCTTCCCGCCCTCCGGCTCCGGCGCGGCTGTGGCCTTACAAACAGCTGCTGGCCCAGAGACAATCCCAAGGACTTCCTGTCACTCAAGTACGACCTTTGGAACACGGGCCGCATGTCTCCTGCACTCACACCATGCGGTCGGCCTTTCTCAACGGCCGAACGAGCCTCCGGGAGGACGGAGGGCCACAGGCCGGGGAGAAGGCAGCGGCGCAGCGGCCCCGTCACCCCACCCTCGGAAGCTCGCCAACGGGTGACCCGGAGAGGAAACGGGACGCCTGCGTCGCCCCTCAGTAACACCTGCTCACCCGCTCCTCACCCCCAGAGTCGTCGTTCCAGAGATTTCTCCTGTCGTGTTCACGGACGTCTTTCCCAGTGAATGGGGTCAGGATTTTAAAGTAATTAAGATCACAGAACCAAACTCAGGCCTTTTTTCCTTCTCTTGGATCAAAAAAAGAATAAACCCACCGGTAGTCACGCTGAAGGAAGGGCCCCGACTTAGGACAGCCGGCGAGCCCCGCAGCCCGACCCCCGGCTACGCCGGGGCCCAGGCCAACGACGGGCCCACAATTCCACACCCAGAGGGAGGGACGGGGCAGGAGAGCAGGCGCGAGAGGGCGGCCGAGTCTCAGGGCGAAGACTCGGGGACATTCAATAGGAATCTTTGGACAATCGTTTACCTTCAGAAACAGGCTCATCTCTGTGAAGACAAAACCACTAGCCCCCAAAATTCAGTTTTAGCAATGGAAACGTAAAACGGTATCTATGGAAACCAACTTGTAAATCCCTGGCCCAGGCCTGAAGGGCCCAGGCCTGAAGCGCCCACCCCTTGCTAAGGCATAAAAAGTCAGACTTTAATAGGGCTTCCTCTGCGTCATCTAAACCACCCCGGTACTGAGCCAGCCGGGGTCTCCGTACATCCGCCGCATGCGACTTCCACTTGCCCACCTGGGCTGCTGCGGGGCCGTCAGACGGGGTTTGCAATCAACTGCACGGGGAGCTCATCCAGCGGCAGGAACGGACGAACCTCACTCGGAGTCGGAGGGTCCGGGGAAACTCGAAGGCGACAAGCCCTAGTGCCATGGCAGGCGGAGCGAACCCAGTTCCCTCCCAGGCTCAGCAGGGGGCGACGACGATGGAAGTCCTCAGTGGACATTCCTCGCCAAAAATGGAAATGAAGTGCATTCAAAAGTATTTTTTTGAGTGCCTTTAATCTTTAAAGAGGACTTTAAAAAGATAAAATAAACAGAGGACTTAGAGGTCCCATGGGTGTCACTAAGGGAATCGCATTTTGAACACGCTTTCTGTGGCCCGTTGCAGTTGTTATCGTGCAGTTGTAATAGCATATATTTTCAATGTAAACCAAAAATCGTTTTTTGTTTCTCTAGGTTTGAATGGGAGCTTTTGGATCTTATAGAGGATTGAAAATCCCTCAATGTAAACACCCATCAATGTCAATTTCCTTTCTCCCAAGTGCCATTTTCTGCACCATCTAAACAAGTCATTGCCATGCTTTTCTACATATCCTAACCCTTGAGAGAAGCATTTTCTGAAAACCAAATCCACCCCTAACATCATTCACCACCTCTATCAGTGATTTCGTTTAACAAAGTTACTAACTAGCCAAGGTCTAGATAGCTTCCTACATGACTTAAGTGATTTTTTTTCCTTCACCTTTTAAATATTCTGTTGTCTGCTGCTGAGGAAATTTTTCTTGGAATCAAAGTGGGGAAAGTTAAATCACACTCATAACATGACAAACCATGAGGCTGTCATTTGTAGATACTTTTTATGAAATTAATGCAAATTTAGTCCTCTAAGGACATAAGCTTTTCTAATAATTTTCATTAAAATCAAGAGCTGTATTCTCTCAGGACTTTCTAGATGAGTTTTCTTACTACTAGGGCTGTTACATGCTTGTAAAAAGTGGGGTAAAGAGGAGACAGGTTTCTGGTTCCTCTCAGCTGCCCTGCTCTCCTCCCTCGCCTGGGAGCCCCAAGTCCTACAGCAGAAGCTTCCAGGGGGGCGGCTGCACTGTCTGAGGGTTTACCATGCTTCACGGATGTGGGGGCAGCTCACACACTGAGACCTTCTGGCTCCAACACTTTGCTGAAGTTTCTGCATTTACTCTGTTCAATTAACCAGCAGGTACTGAAGGCCCACAACACACTTTTAAGTGATGCTAACATTTTAGTTTTGAGCTTATGTGCAACATCTATAATAATTCAAAGCCATTTTTTCATTTTCTCAATTGTCACACACAGATTTTTTTCAGATTTAACAGAAATAACCAATATCCAGGGCAGTGATTCTTTTAATATCCTAAATCACTGTGATCAACTTACCCTCTCACAAGGATTGGTACTTTACAAACTATTTAGAAAGACAAATCACACAGTTCATACCTGGGTAGTTTTCAAAGATCTTCTTCTTACCAAAAGACTCAACTTGCCTTCTATGTGAATTCACCACTGGTGTTCAACAAATGATTTATCCTAAGCACCACTTACGTTGATGCTGAACAACCCTAACCCTCCTAAATTTACTGTATTTTTTTCTTTTCTAATCAATTTTAGACTTTTAAATTTGAAGGTTTCACTTTTCCAGTATTAACATATGTAAGAATCTTGATTCTCATGTTACCTTGAGACAACATGAAGACCAAATCCACAGCCTGTTTGGATGTTGGGGACAGAAATCCTGCACGAGACCCTCCAAGAGCACCTGACTCACAGGCATGGCCTTTCCTGAAGGATCACCTGCTTTAGGTTCTTAGTCAAATGTGCTTGAACTAAAGAGAAAACTATTCTTCAAAGTAACTGTTCTCTCCTATATGTTCATGTAGCCAGAAGTTCCTAAGGCTTGACTGCTTACACGTACTTCAAGTTTTGACTTCAAAAGCATCTCAATATAAATATTAAATGGCTTTTCAGTGCATAGTCAGAGGTACTAAGCATCACTAATTGCAATATACTCCTGGGATGCCTTTCACATTCCTTAGAGCTTTCAAGAGAAGTACAGATAAAAGTTCATTTGTTAAAAACAAAAATGGTGCTATCAGGATCAAGTTTCGAGTTTTGAAATGAATGCTCCAGCAGCTGTCCTTAGAAAAGTGGATTTTTAAATAGCTACATAAAGGGATTAGCTCCTAGAGGGTTCTTTTGCTCAGCATGCTGGGTATGTCATTTTTATGCTTTTAATCGACAGAATTCAAAGGATAGGTTGGAGTGGCTACACCGAGGTATCAGAGGTCCTGTGGCTTGTCTTTGTAAACTGTGCTTCAAAGGGTAACACTACTTAGAATTTAAAGGCCGGTTCTTCACAATGGTCCTGAAAATATATACAAATTCAGGAGACATGAAAGTTGTAGCTAGGTAAACTTAAAAGGCTACCATCTGTTACTCAATTCTTTCTTGAATGGGAAGTGACTTTTAGTTTGTAACATGCATTCTGGTTTACATGTGAAGGAAGCGAGAACCTGAGACGGGAGAGAAAACCCGGCTGACATTTTTGGAGCTATGGACTGTGTAACGGCTGTAGATGAACGACAGGAACATTCAGTCCGTGGGACAGGGAAAGGACAGTGGGCGGGGGCGGGGCTGGGGTCTGCTAGAAGAGGAAAGGCAAGATGGTCATACTTCGGACGAAGACAAATGGATCTCAGAATTAATACTTTATAAGAGTCTGATGAAAAGTACTGCTGCTTACATGTTTCAGGAAACTGGCATATTGGAGAAATAAACACTACAGATACACAGATTTCACTGCGTTTAAAATTCAGTGCTTGATAAGGCCCTTTACCACACAATGTTTTCTGCCCCACAAACTGTATAAAGGAAAAGTTTAACTGCGTGAATGAGTTTAAGTACCTGACTGGGTTGCAGGGCAAAATGGAGTAAAATTAAACTCTCTCTTTCTCTTGACTGTAAGAGTAAGAACACGAGGTCAAGCAGGGCCATGAGAAAATAAGAATAGGGAACAGCCAACAGTTGTTTCAAACAGAAAGTAAATACACTACACATATTCCCTTAGCACACAGTCCTTAGTATTTATGATGTGATATGTAAACTTTAAGTAGTGAAGTCATAGACTCTAAATAGTGATTCTTCACATTCAATGTAACTTTAGAACCAACAGATTAGTTCAGAAGATTATCTAAGCGTCACAAACAAGCAACATGTATATACTGCAATTTTATTTCAATCGCACAAACGGAGTTAGCGTGTAGGAAATGTCAATGAAACAGTACGGCAGAAACGGCCGAGAACCGAAAACTCTAACAAGTACACCTAACGCGTGAGAAGTCGACATTCATTAGTGTTTCATCTTCAGTTTTGATTGACACTTGATGCTTGCAAATTTCAAAACAAACTCTGAAATCAGGATGACTATTCTGAAGAGATTTCAGCACCAGCACTAAGATTTGTACATTCAGTTGGTTTGCAGTTGACTTGTTAGCCATTTACATAGTGTAGAGGACAGGTTTGTCACAGGTCAGGTCACAGTGTTGAGGACAGAAGTGCCTTCCTGCAGTCAGGAAGGATCCCCGAAACTGCTTAAGACATCCGATGGAGAGGGCGGGAAGCCACTGCCACCACGGGGCCCCAACGTGGTCTGGGTGAGGAAAGAAACTTCAGCTTCTGTGTCTCACTTCCACTACTGAAATCTCTAACAGCAACAGCTGTCACGTGGGACAGGAGATGCGTACAGTAATTCAATCAAATGTTTTGGAAAGAACACATTTAGCCATCTTGGGATAATGCAAAATGATGGAAAATATAACATGATTCAACACTGGTTCTTTTTTGTCATTTTACACAGACATCATGTTAATATTAGACCAAGGCACAGAACGTTTAGTGCATAACCAGTTTCTTTTTTTACGATCTAGCATTTTATTGTAGTCTTTTATCTTACTTTGGACCACTTGTACCCAGAGTCCTCTATCCTACTATAGACTATTTAAATTAACCAACAAAATCAAAAGTTACTTCTGACCAGATTTATAGGGGACACAAATGTATAATGAGTGTTTACATAACCGAAAGTACAATAACAAGGATGGAAATGCCTATTTCTTTTAGAAAACAGTACTTTGTAAGCTTGTTGCATCTTTAGAATGCCTCTACTACTAATGTAGACAATGAGCAGTTGAAAAGAACTGTAGACTTGAATGAGAGCTCATCCATCACAGATTACTCTAAAAAATGAAGTTCCTACAGAAACACTATTTTCACAAGGAAACAAATCCCCTCACCCAAACCTCTCTGGCATGATCACGTTGCATATCGGCAGCAGCTGGGAAACTATGCTACCAACACACTCCGGCTGACGAATGGAGACATACAAAATTCAGAAAGCAAATGAAAACTGATCATTTCTTCAAAATTTTAGTAAAACTTCTGATAATCAAAGATTTCAAAGCAAATATGGCACATAACTCAAGCATGAATCAAGATGGTGAGCCTGGAGAATTTTTGATTTCCTAAATTAAAAAAAAAAAAAAATCTATCATTGCAAGAGACAGGATTTCTCCCCTATTTTAATCTTACAAATTTCAAAGAAAAGGGAGTGGATTACATATACACGTGCGTGTGCACAACACATGCGCACACACAGTGCTAAGTAGAGTTATCTAATTCCTCATTCCCACCACCCAAGTCTCACTTTATTTATTAAAGGAAAACTACGCAGGGCTCCTCGCGGGTTTCCCCTTAGCGAATGACCTCTGTGACCTTGACCGCTGCCGTCATTGTTCGTTCTTGTAATTCAACGTAACAAAATTCAAAAGCAGCTTCACCGTCAGGAGCATGGGCCTGACCGCCTGTACACCTGCAGGGCACCTCGGTGACCGTCACGGCCAAGTTCGGGGACCGAGCTTTTGAGTTCCACAGGAAGATAAAACTCCGTGTGAAGCTCCGAATCATGTTTCAGACCATTGAAATGACGGAAGTTCAAATACAAAGAGCTGAAGACATGATGTAAAAGATTAAGTACTTGGTTCTGTTAACATATTTACCAATTAAAGTCACAAAATAGTCTTTGTTATTTTTTCATGCAGGTAATTGAGAAAAAAGATAGTGCAGAAATTAGCTTTAAATAAAAAATTATTCCGTCCCTTCCTCCCACTCCCCAATACGCTACAAAATGTTTTTCCCTGGGACGAGGCCTTGAAAAGGCCGCTACGTATTACCGTGACATGCATTACCGCCTGCAATTAAAAAAGCTAATTTTGTGGTGGTTGTAATTACATTATAAAAATGTCCACATGCATAAATCTAAAAAAGGTTGAAAACCTACAGTAAATCTACAATATATTGTTTTACATTTGACCACTGGTTTGTGTTATGTAGGAGTCATAGATTTGGTAAAGCATTGTAACAATTTAGGAAGGCATCTAAATCTTTAAATTCTGGACGAATTTTATGTTTTAATCTACAAAATTGCATGAAGGCTAACTCGAGAGACTTCCTATCATTCTAAAATTCCTCAAGCGGGACAAATCATTTTTAGGACACTTTCGCATAAATATCACCCTTTGAAAGCACGTAACAGTCCCTTTTGTTCCACATTTGGTGATCTCCACCTACACAGGGCTCATCTCAATACTCATGGAATAATATGATAGGAAGACAAACCTGAGAGAAACATTTACAATACAACAGCATAACTTGCTGAACTCTTCATCAGCACGCTCTGAAAAAAAACCTCTGAAGCCTTTCTCCTCTTTATTTTAGCAACAGACTGTGGAAAATGAGAGATTTCTATCTTGACATGAAAATATTTCAACGCACAGCGATCTTGCCTGACGGGCTTAGTATTTTCTGCATAACTGTTCCAGGAACTCTTAAACGACTCTTCCATCCTGTTGAAAAGGTCAGAAAACAGCAGCAAACTGGGAGGGAAAGAGCTTATCGCCAGAGTATGATGTCTGAAGGCTTTCAAAGTCTGTTGGTGCTTCCCTCCTTCCGACTGTCTCCATCTTCTCACAGCTCACAAAATGTAGGGGTGTGTTGTTGTTAACAGTTGTTGTCTGTAGGTGTTTTTTCCTTTCTGCAGATTAAAGTCCTATCTCTCCTTAGTTTGTTTCTCTATGCGGTATTTGACTTGCTCAGTTCCTGCCTGATGGCTGGGTGGGAAAAGGAAAAGTATTTAAAATAAATATAATAAGATAAAATAAGTGAGTGACTCGATCTTAAGAAATTTTAATGACTGTGTTCAAACTCACAGTAATAAAAAGACACACTGATTCTGCATGTTTTATTGCACAAATCTTTTTAATTTCCTTATTACAAAAATGATCGTAATTCCCATCTATGTGTATTTATTATCCCCCTTTTGTATACCAAGTGGAAACACTTACTCTGTGGGCTCAAGAACAAGAGGGCCATGTGCTGGGGTAGATGAGCAGGGGCGAGCGGGACAAAGACTGGTCCACCTCGCTGTCCAGCAACGACTGCTCAGCAACTGCAACAGGGATGTTTATCCCTGTTTTTATCTCCATCCTAGGAAGGAGAGGGCTTCTCCCACATGCCCAGCCAAGGGCAGAAACTATGGGAAAGTAACTGTTTTATGCCCTCAAGGAATAAAGTGGCTATTTATTTGCATTTTCTTCTTTTTTTTTATCCTCACCAGAGGACACGCTTACTGATTTTAGAGAGAGGGAGAGAAACATCAACACGAGAGAGAAACACCCACAGGCCGCCTCTCATACACACCTTGGCTGGGGACCAAACCTATAACCCGTTGTGTGCCAGGCCCAAGGACCTGTGAGCCTTCCATTTATGAGATGACGCTCCAACCAACTGAGCCCCACAGGCCAGCACTACTTGCATTTTCTTAAAACTTGCTATTCTTTTTTAAAAAATTTTATTTTATTGATCATGCTATTACAGTTGTCTCAATTTTCTCCCCTTTGCCCTCCTCCACCCAGCACCCCCAACTCCCTCAGGCAATGCCCCCACCATTGTTCATGTCCATTTGTCATGCGTGGAAGTTTTCTGGCTACTCCATTTCCTGTACTGTACTTTACATCCCCATGGCTATTCTGTAACTATCTGTTTGTACTTCTTAATCCCTCACCTCTTCACCCATTCCCCACACCCCGCTCCCATCTGGCAACCATCAAAACACTCCCTGTATCCATGATTCTGTCTCTGTTCTTCTGGTTTGCTTAAAAACTTGCTATTCTTAAACATTACTTTATAGGAGTACCACATTTGTTTAGACACTCACCATCTATGAGCTCTTCTTTTAGCTTTGTTAATTCTTTTCTCATTTCATCTAGAATGTCCTAAAATAGTAGAGAAAAACATGAGGAATAAGGAAAAAAAAAAAAAAAACAGCCCTGCCAAAAACTCTTGCCCATATAAAAATTTAAGGCTGTATAAAATATGACATATGGTTTTGTTTCCAGAGTCATGATTTATGTGTTAGAAGGCTAGCCTTAGTATATTCTGTTTTAATAGTTTTCCCTTCCCAATCTTTGCTTATTCCAGCCTAGTAAGATAGGAAACACATGCTTCTACAACTGAATTAATTACACTGACATCCAGTGGAAGGCACGATTCAGATCACCTCCCGAAAAGGTAGGAGCTCTGCTTTCAATCGAGTCTCTGGGAGCGATCTGAGGGTGATGCACCAAGACGCATGAAGGCGGAAGACGAGTTAACCAGACAACCAGCTCTTGGCAAGTCTGTCATCTGGTCTGAAGGACGGGGTTCCTGAGGGATCCCCACAGCTGCCAAACTAAGCTTCCAGGAATCTAGGGTTCCCCTGAAGAGCCCTCAGGGGCCGCCCTCACGTGGAGACAGAGGTAGAAGGGACCCTGTGGGTCCCACGTGGCAGGCACCAGCCACATGTAGCTAGCAGGCCGTGGCATGTGGCTAGTTTGAAGTGAGATGTGTTCTAAATGACTTCAAAGGTTTAGTATGGAGAAAATAATGCATAGTAACTCATTAATTTAAAAATATTTTTTACATATTGGAATATTATTTTGAAACTTCACATCTTCCCCTATACTTACTTAATGTGGCTACTTTTAAAATTCTTACGTGGCCCACATATTACATTCCCATTTAATGATGATGTTCTAGACCTTCCTTCCTCCACGAAAACCAAGCCATCTTTACATATTTTGCAAAATTTCTACTTCTAAGTTCAATATGAAATAATGGACACATGCCCCATCCCCACCGATTAAAAAAAAAGTTTGAAAACTGTGTCATTATGAAAATTCCAGGGAGCTATGACAAGGTAACACAATTTAATGGGGAAAGTAATAGCCCCACTCAGGAAAGATTAGTTTTGAATCACGTGACTTGAATGTTGCACACACCTCAGGTAAAATTAAACTGCTCTGTGTTTAAGGTTCTTTTTTTTTTTTTTTAAAAAAAAAAGCTTTTCCTGTTAAAAATAAGGTTTAAAAACTATCAAGTAATTGAATTCCTCCATTTTACCACTGAGGAAACTGAGGCACAGAAATTATTACACAACTAACAGATACCCTTATTCAAAGTAACCTCAAAGTCACTACTGACATCAAACCTAGCCTCTTTCTGTCACTCTTCAGCTAGCCCAGAACGTACCGTGACGGGCAAGTGCTCTGTTTTAAAACACAAAGGTGTATTTAATACACAGGAAAACAAGAGTTTTATCAATCACCGCATGCTTCCTTTTCAAATTACACAACTCTACGTAACGTTCCAAAATGCTTTGCGCTCCAAAAACGCTTTGGGCTACAAAAACGAGGTGTATCTGAAATTACTGCTGGGATTTCTCTCTGTAATCCCCATTCAACGCTGAACTCGTTGTCGCAACATTATTGCTGTTTTGGGTCCCACGCAAACACTTGCTGGCATTTAAAACAATGACTGACCGAACAGGGAAAACAGGGTTTGAAGAAATATCTGGGTCCAAATCCTACCTCACTATGTACCTCGCTGTGGGAGCGAGGGAGCTGGGCTTCCCTGAGCCTTCTGTGTGCAGCCCTGGAGCACGGGCGCCGCAGGACACGGCTGTTGTGCGGGTCAGGGCACAATATTGCACCAAGAGCCTAAACCCGGCACATGCCCGGCGCTCGGTCGACCAGGGAGCCCGGTCCACGCAGCCGCAGTGCCCAGTACCATCGCTGTGGTCTCAGGCTGCCCCGCGGTGCAGGGCGAGGAGACAAAGACTGCGTCTTCCATCACAGACCCACCAGCATGGAGGTCTGCAACGCTGACTATCACTTTACTAAGATCCACTGCCGGCCATTTTGAATCTGTTTAACACTACCAATTTTTTAAAAACTTATTTTACATCTTCTAGGACTAAAGTATTGTAAAGCCCCACACAATTTCATCATCTATTACTCCTTCTTCTTTTTCCCTGAGTACAGAGGTATTCAATATAATACATGTGTATCCAAAACATGGACAGTATCTTTTTAAAGAAAGGTGAGATAACTGTTCATACTGTTTGGTCGCCTGTGTGTCCCAGCTAACACGGGCCTGTGCTCGCAATCCACTGCTACGCATTCTCTCAGGCACGATTCCTGCAGGGCCCTCCTTCATGCGAGATACATTTATACACTTCTGTGATGCTGTCTTAGCATGAACTCTTAGAAGGAAAACTGATGGGCTCAAAGTTCAGACATTTATTTTCAAGGCTTTTGATTTATTTTCCCAAACTGTTCCCTAGAAAGCAGAAATTTTCCTCACATTCTCACTAACACCAGATTTGCTGGGTCCCGTTTTTGGCAATGTCAGCGACAAGTGGGAGCCCGCTCCCCCTTTTAAACAAATATACACCAGGCACGTGCATTTAAAATTTATGCTATCCCATTCACCCACAGCCTACACCCTCCGCCACCGCTGAAACCTAACACAAACCCACTGAAACGAAACAGGAGGGTCAGGAAAAATAATATAGGACCAATGTCAGTGTTTAATTTATAGAAAACTACCTTAACTCTATGTGCTTTTCAAGCACATTCATGATCCGGCAAATGCATGCACGCAAGATGTTTTAAAAAGAAGCAGGTGCAAGTCAAGGACAGCAGCCACTGCACACCCACCTGCTTCAACCTGTCGTAGTCCAGCCCCTCCGTCTGGACTCCGTTGGCACTGGGCTGTGACGAGGGCGCAGATTTTGGTCTGTGCAAATGAAATTTCCAGGACAGGTGAGCAATACTTGGGAAATTTAAGGAGTTCATAAATGACCGTAAAATTACCAACCCAATCCCAGACTTCAATGCATTTCTTAAAGCATGTCGTGTTAAAAAGTTAACTGTCAAAGTATAGGGCTCATTACAATGTAACACAGGTAGTTTTTTCACTTTTCTCAGAACTTTCAGTTATTTGTAAAGAAATTAGAAGTGGTGCTAAGATGAGGAGACCCCTTCAGCCAAGAGCAGAAGACAACGCTTTTAGGGCACGAGGCAGCTCACCAGGCAACGCGTGACATGCTGACCAAGACAGGGACCAAAGGCCAGCTGCAACCTCCGAGGCCCAGGTGGGACCCTTGTTTTCTCCTTCTTTTGAAACTGTACACTATCTACCAAACAGCTGACAAACCAGTGGAAGGGAAAATATAAAAACAAATTATTTTACGCTAACGTGAATCAATTTACAAATTCTACACCTTGGTTTGTGGGTGAAAATTTTTTTCAGCGAGCGCAATTTCTATGTATATTTTTTATTCCATTTCAAACATCAAAAAATAAAAATGTTGGGAAAATGATGTTTACATTAAAAGTATATCCCCATCCAATGGGCTATGAGGGCCATTTCCCAATGAAGCTTTATGAAGGTGTCCTCTGAATGGTGTGCTCTGGCTAACTACTCCCATACGCTCACTTTGTTTTGCTTTGTTTTGCTTTGTCTTTAAAAAAGCAAATACCACACAGAACCTGCCTGTCAATGACTGCACTTTCAAAGGCTTACCTTCTATTAAAATTTTCACATAAAGAAATAAATCTCCAGGATTAGGTACATTTTAAACAAAAGTTACAATATCAAATAAGCTAGTCATGGCTCCGTCTCCAAGTCTGGTGACAAGAGAAAATACTAAGTGGGAAATCCACTATGGGACCACAAATCAATGGAGGGTAAAACCATTCGTCAAGTCACTTCAGTTTTGCAGAGCATCAATGTTAGCAATCTGAACCGAGGCTCAAAAGGCATTAATAACTTCCACAAAGTTATACCTGCATTCATTCTTACGAGGCATGTTGGTACCTCAAACCCATAAGCACTGTTTGCAGAGATGAAATATTGAGTTAATTTACTGTAACATCAAACATACGACTGCTTACAAGGTTGTTGTGAAGCAAGTCAGCCAATTATATTGTATTAGAGATCTGCATATGCTTATATGAACGAAGAAAATAACTTTCAGAAAACTTCACCCAGTAACCACGGACGGAGGCACCGTGGGGGTAAGAAGGTTTATACGACACATTTCTTTCCTTCTTGTGAGGGGGGATACACTTTTTTCCTTTACTGAGGAGACTACTTAATGCCACAGTCACTTAAGATGTAGTGAGGTCCACATTACGTAGGTCACGGTGCTCTGTGTAGAGTCTGGTCGAGTGAAATGTTCTTAAGGTTGACACACGGTGCATTTCAGGCGCCCGCGCTGTCAGCTCCTGCCCACCAGGATGAAGTCGCTGATTACTGTGCTTTTCTTTTACTTTTCAAATTTAAGTGGTACAACTAGCATATTCTCTCCTAAGTTAGACAATGAATACCCTTAAATTCACGTGAATAACGACTGTCCCCTACTTAACCAGGCAGTATGCTATCAAATAACAATATTTACTAAACAATGCAAGAAAGGATTATTGTTATATAATAATTGTGGAAACATGCAAGTTCTAAAAAACTGAATTCATGCTAACATGCAACCCACCACCGCCACCACCGCCACCAGGATAATTAACTACAGGGGGGAACTTTTCATACGGAAGGAAAGACGTAATCACCACTTCTTAAAAGAGATTTATCAACAGCATTGTCCCCAGAGGCACTGTGTGTGAAGGCAGCAAGATGACTGAGGAGACTTACAGCAGAAAACCTCATTGTTCGATGCTATTTTTCTATCTACTAGCAAATTTCCTAACTAAAGTTTTTTGGTTGTAAAAATAAAATCTAAAAAAAAAAAGGCGTAAACAACTATTTCACTACTGTAATACAAACATTTTAGGCAGATATAACTAACTGGCTGATGAAATAGACTTACCAAGTATTTTAATCATCAATGGCATGAAAATAACTTAGGCTGGTAACACTCTGGCCAAACAGAGTCTGACTACGGAACTCTCTGCTCAGGCCATGGACACCCACCCTCCATGCACTGCAATCCTAGGGCACGTTTCCAGCGCACCTGATGTGTACTCTTTAAAACAGATGCGCACAACAGCACGGGCAGATCGTGGCTATTCCTGATCTGTGGGCTCTCACCATAACTGATAACAAAATATGTGGGTTTCTCAGAGGTTTTTATTATGTTATAATGAGAGTGTTGCCTCTAGGCTGTACCACAATATTTACATCCCTATTCTGCCACACTAACTCTCAATATAGCTTAAGCATTTGAGAGGGTTTTTTTTTTTTAATTGCAATTTTTTCAATGAAGAAATAAATACATGGTTCATATCTTAGGTTTTCTTAATTAAAAAATGGAATAATAGGACTCATCCTAGGAAACAAATAATCTGTTCAGGATGTTAGATGCTCGGTTGTTAAAGACACTCAATTTACAACAAAGTATCTAGAAAACAGATATTTCTCTCAAAGAATAACTTATCCACAACTGTGGTTATAATACTGTCCCATGTTCCGGTATCTAACAGTATAGGCTCTTGTATTCCACTTTTTAAAAGCTTTGTCCCATATGTATAAGGCTACAAACAGCCCAGATATATGTGGCCTCAGATTCCCATTCTAGTGTTTCTGACATATTTACCATTTATATTTACCCTAATCCAACTATAAAGTGATGGTGGGGAAATGAATACTATTAATTTTTATAATTGAAATCTCTTAGAATTTTTAAAAACTGTTCTAGATAAAGCTGAACACAAAAGAGTCAATCCTCCTAAAAATCTCCCCTGTGGTGATTACCAATCCGTGTAGAAAAAGCTCAGCCCTAGCCTGAACATGTTATTTAAAAGTCTCAAATCACAAAGTCACATCAGGATGATACCTGTGTAATGAATCATAGGACCTGTTGTCAAAAACAATCTGATTTTTCCTTGGAGAATCCCGTCTATGAAGGGGAAAAGCCATTTAAAGGGGTATACAACAGAACTTTAAAAAATATTTCTCATTATGCTATTATTTTATAGGTTTTTTAGTCTTAGCAAACAAAATAAGAACCAAAGGAGTCCATTAACGTTAAAATAAGTTTTTCCAACACAACAGAAGGTATTTGGAGAGTAACTCTAATTATGTGAGGATACTGTTTACTTAATCACACAGAGAAATTGTTTAAATCACTATTTTTATACATGACAGACAGTGAGGCTTCAAGACAAAGATTCAGCAAGTATCAAAACACAAAGACATTTCTATTAGAATATAAAGCTATCGTCTCAAATAAAAGCACAGTAAGAATCACCGTAGCCTGAAGTATAGAAAATTAACTCTTCTCAAGGGGCATACAAAGAACATTTTTTCCATCTTGAATACAAGCTCTGTAAGCTCTTACTAAAAATCATAGGAAGAAATACCAAACTTCCCAACATTTCATTCCAGTCATAGTTTTAAAGCATTTTTAACTATAGCAGTCTTGCCCTCACTCTACTGTCTGACATCTTCACTTAATAAGTAAGTGTAAGGCAGCATCTCCTGTGTGTTAGTGCCAGGTATTAGCCCGCTCCGCCACTGAACAACTGGGCCGTGGACACTCCCGCTGCTCAAGGGTGACACCTACATAAACACACGGAACAGCCAACGCACGTGCTTTCAGAAGGGACAGGGGAGATAACTGAGGAGGAAAAGGAATACAGTTCTTATCTTTTCAACACATCTTTAAAATCGCTTATGGTTTAAAAGAGCTTGTAGTGAAAATTTAAGACATACGTCACACATACTGGTGGTTAGATCAAATCTATCAAAAGGTGTACGAGTGGGCAGGAAATAATTAGGCATTTCAGAATTTCTACTTTGGGAAAGGAGAGGAAAACCATCTACAAGTCAACACATGATTACAGTGCACTACTGGGCTATAAGAACCAATATTCCCTTGATCTACAAAAAAATAAATTTTAAATGACGGGCTTCAGAATGTATATTAAACTTCCTTTAGATAAAATCTGAAAAATCTCTCAGGATAGAGTTTTTCCTTCACTAAATGAACCCAAACACAGTGAGGAGCATCATCATCCGTTTGGAGAACCTCTCCTGTCCTGTTTTCTCACCAGGACTTCAGGGTTAGCTGCAGGCAAGCTCACAATGGACCTCCTACCCGTGAAGCAGGGAGCAAGAGCAGTGGCAAAGAGGAGAAAGATTTCCTCCCCGTCCCAATCCCCACCTTCCAAGGACAAATGGCACATCACAGCTCTGATAGGTACGTGATAAATGAGGCTTCCTACTGTGCTGAAGACAGGCCGTGACAACTACTAGACATGCATTCAGAGACTGCATCGATCAGGCATTGCAGAAGCAGAAGTGGGCCATTTCGCCAATCTACTGAAAAAGCTCATCCACCAAAAGAAATGCCTGCGTTTTCCTCTAAAATCCAAGACAGGGTCTGGCACAAATAACACCCCTTTTTAATTACAAAATCATAAACATGTAATTCTGTAATACAATAAAATCACACTCAAGCACATGATATGACATTTTAGGTGAAATGTTCCAATCAAAACTGTAAATTATTACACCCATATCATTACCCTACCAGCCACACTCAAGCAGGCATTACTTCTGCTGGACCTTCTTTCAGTCACTTTAGAAACTATAAGCATCTACATGTCCCAACAGGCCCGGTTTCTTTGGGGACCCTAGGCTACAGCGCCCTCCGCAAACCCTGCTGCCGTCAGGAGAACCACAGGGAAACAAGCGCTAATTTACATCTAGGCCAACACAGGCAGGTCTGTGGCCCCACGAGGTCCATCCTTGTGTTTTTCTTTGTTAGTAGAGTCAAGTTTGCGCTTTACGAGGCAAAAATAAGGCAAATAGCTCAGAAAGAAAAGACAAAAAACTCTTTAGTCTCTAGGCGAAATAGCTTCAGTTTCTGGGAGATCTTTAAACTATCTTGTAGGCCAAAAAATATTTTCATCTATGGTCAAAACCTATGATGCAAATTTGGTTTTGCTAATAAAGTAGGCTTAGCTAAGGAACACTGCACTTCCTTGACCACGGACACGTGGCCACTTGGAGAGACATGAATTAACTAGTCCTGTTTCTGGGTACTCTTTTTTCTGACTTGATATAATTAGAAGTTTGAACTGAGAGGGCAAAAAGACTTCTACTTTACAAATTCAAAATTTTATTTTGCTCTCTCATCAACAGCGTACCCTTTTCTCTCCAGCTGCTTTTCAGTTTAAAATGTTACATTTCTTTCAGAAGTTACATTTACAAAATACAGGATGTCATTCAGACTAATGGGAAAATGGGACTATACTACGCATTGTAATATTATTTTGTTCAGTGTTAAATTTCTTGAGAGTGACAACTGTACTGGGGTTTCGTAAGAGAATGTCCTAGGAAAAAACATGGAACGTATTCAAGGTGAAGCAACAAATATTTGCAAATTACCTTCCAACTATTCAGAGGGGGAAAAAAGGGTGAATGTGTAGATAAGAGTCCAAGCAAATGTGGCAAAATGTTAGTAACTGGTGAATTTTCGGGATGGGTATACAGGTGTTCACTGTACTGTTCTGTCAACTTTTCTGTAGTGTTGAATCTCTCAAAATAAAAAAAACTGTGAGGAATAAAAGCTACCTAAATTTCAGACAACCTGGCTGGCAATAAGCATGGGGCAGAATTCAGACAATCAAAAGGAAAAGTACAAAGGAGCACAGTGCTTATCTAACAGCAGCAGGAATACAGGTGTTTTGTTTTTTTTTGCTCCACTGTACAAGTTCGAATCTACCACCCATGTTTCTACAATAAAAATGTAGGTGTCAACTTTTTTTAGATAAAAATGTAATATAATATTAGAAAATAAATTGGTACCTGGATATAACAGGTGACTTGCTGCCATTCATTGTATTTGTTCTTTCCCAGGGTTTTCTTGTTGGTTCTTTAAAAATAAAGAATGGAAGTTACTAAACATCCTACACGCTCCCAGAGTTATTGTAAAACAAGTAATAAAATACTAAGTATCGTTATATAGGTTTATATGGTAATACAGGTAAATAAGAAAATTTTAATTTCAGATTAAAATTTTAATTTCGGATTCTAATTTGAACAATTTCAGAACTTAAAATGAGAAGAACAGGCAAGTGTAACATGTTTCCCTGGGACACACTTAAGACTGTTAAATGTAAAATACTATAATTCTATACACGGGATGGCAAGAAGCTTCTCTGATAAAGACAGGATAATCAGAATTAAGAATAGGACATCTTTAAGTTGTTAGAAATAGTATACATTATTTTAAATTAAGAGATACTCTAAGTTTATTAGACTAAAACAGTAGAACCATACTATTTTAAACAATTTTTAGTGCTAAAAGAAAAACAAATAAAAAGTAAAATCTTTAATGTGTTCAAAGTCTGATATTTAATCTAAATCCAAATAGTCTTCTTGGAAAATTATTCAAACAATTCAAAATAAATTTCAGAATCATGCAATTCTGTTGCAGCTCCTTGATTCTCAAAGAAACCAATTCTTGGGACTTCGGAGACAATTCCAGTGAAATGTAAACGAGTGCCCTGTCAGCTCCTACCGCAACAGATAAGCAGCGACTCACTGGTCAGCCTGCCGCGCTTTGATTCATTGCTCTAATTTGGGCTGAATCACTAATGCTATCGCTGCCCTCACTCGCAGACTGGCTGAGATCAGCAGCAGACTCCTGTCACGGGAGAGCATCTGGGCCACATGATAATCAAGTCTAAGCATAAGCCATGATCTCAGGGCACACTTTTAACTAGGAAACCCCAAGTTCCAATGCTGCCCCTCAGTTGGCATCCACGTATTCTCACTTAGGTAGTCGCTTGGTCTCTCTTTAAATTACACACGTGCAAAAGAAAATCCAACCTCTTCCTTGAAATACTGCTTCTGTTCTCGATTGCTGTTGCAGTCATCTAGATGTGAAAACTTTAAGTCACCTCCCACCTTGCTTTACTCATCGATCAATCAATCAATCACCCATCTCTTCATTTTAAATTATACTTTGTATTCCTTCTTTTGTGTTGTAACAGCTAACACATTCTCTAAATGACCACCACAGAGTTGACAAGGAGACATCAAATAATCAGATGGGAAGGTCCAGGAGGGACAGAAACTCATCCAAGAGACATCTGCCAGAGTAGGCGAAGAGCGAGAAGTTCTGAGTAAAAATGAAGGCCAAACAACTGGACGAGCAGGGGGATGGTCATCAGGACACTGTCACCAAAGAAGACACGCATGGAGAGATGAAGAAATATGCTACAGTTGGCCGAGGTCTTTCTCAGCCAAGTCACCTTTTAATCTTAAAAGGGCTCCTCTGGCTTTGAGGACGAGCTTCAGTTCAGCTGTGCGGACAGAGAGGCGGCCCTCCCTCCAGGGGACCCCAGGTTGGTTTCAGGAGGAGGCGCCGGCTGGACCGCCTACAGAAGGTCTCTGGAAGCACGCTGGACCCTGGCCGAGCCGGTTTCCTATCCTGCGCCCCGCACTGCCCCAGATTTCGGTGTCACGCTGCTCGCTGCTGCCACTTCTATCGTTCCTAAAACAGTCAACCCACTCCTTGCAGGATTAAGTCTAAACTCCTGATCTTTTTTTTCCTTTTTAAATTAATTTCAGAGAGACAGAGGGACAAGAAGGGAAGAGGAGAGAGAGGGAGAGAATTTTTGTTGTTCCACTTACTGATGCAGTCACTGGCTGATTCTTGCACACGCCCAGACTGGGGATTGAACCTGAAATGCTGGCGCATGGGGACAACACTCCCACCGAGGAGCCCAGCCAGGACTAAACTCCTGATCTTTTCACCGAAAGGCTTCGACATTTCGGTTCTAACTCCCTTTTCCGACCTTTCCCCGCCGTCCGCCACAGGAGGAACGCTCCACTCTCGGCGGGCGGGGCTCTCCCTGCCCACCTCCAGCTCACTGCCTGCGCAGCATCACCCCCTCCACTGCAGCCAAACAAAACAGCCCCCAGCGCAGAGTAAAATGTCATTTTCTCCAGAGATGAGCCAGGTGACTCCAAACGATGCAATGCCCTCCCTCTCTGACACATTATTTAAGATTCAACATGTGGTTGTAAAAGGTTAACTTTTTGTGTGTTTTGGGGTCTTATCTTCCCAGCTGGTGCTCAGGCTTTTCGGCCTGTGAAGTGTCTGGCACAACACCAATTAAAAAAAAAAAAATCCTAAATTAAACAAGTGGAAGAAAAAGCCCCAATCCCTCCGAATGAATCCCTGATTTAATACGCATGGTGCACATGTGCAAACACACAAAACACATGGAAAATCCATGCTGTAGTTTTCCATATTTTCAATAAGGGGATATATGGTACACAAAGAGTTGTTACCTTGGGACCTATGGATAACCTTCAGGAAACTCACAAGACTTTTGAAATTATGAGCAAATCTGTATAAAAATATGATTTTCCCTCCTGAGGAGAGGGTTCCTACTCTTTTCCAATTTTAAAAGGTTCTGTGACCCTAAATTATAGTTGAGTTTTTAAATATTTATGGAATTAATAACAGTATACATAATTAATTTTGGCTTATAAAAGAAAGATACAGCTAAAATAAGTGGGTCAAGAAGCAGGTCATTTTTAACGAAGATAATGCAAACTGACTGAATCCTAATCAGAGGAAAAAAAGGAAGCACGGAGGGAAAACAGCTCACCAAGTCAGTGTCAATTATAACACAGTGGTCAGACTGCTGAAAGGTCACCTCAACAGTGAGAGGGATTGTTTTCTTACAAATAGGTTATAATCATAAAAACAAAAACAAAAGTATGTTTTCTAAAAAGTGGGATTTAGAGGCACTGGTAGTCTCTAAATCAAAATATGTAGGTAAGAATTAATATAGAGATTTCTCTACAATGGTTTCCTATGGCTCATTCTAGAAATGAATTAATCAAAATCCTCAAATTTATGTTGCTTCCAAATTAGATAAAGCAGGGGCTAGTCTATGCCCTAATCTTTTAGTCAAATATGCAGAACTGACCTGTGACTATGTAACAATTTCATAGTCCCATCATGGGTACAGTACTCATCAAGTATCTCCAGTGAAATGTATTTTGTTAATATTCTTAGTGCAGTAATACAGTCTATGCCTGAGGGTTCTCAATGTCAAAAATTTCACTAAATTCAAGAATGTTTCCCAAAAGTTTAAAAAAACTGTTTCCCTTACAAATTAGAAGCTTTATTTCCTTGATGATCACTATTAGCCATGTGCATGGTTAAAATGACAACTTTCTCAATATGAGAATGTTTCCTAAGAGGCTTAACTAGCTAACATGCTCAATCTTTACCTTTAGGAACCAGTTATTAAAAATACTTTCCATTCATCCGCTGATGTATCTCCTTTGGTTTAGTGAATAACCTCAAATCATGGTCAATGATAAACAGAAAATGTGTAAAAATGATTTTCAAAGAAAGATTTATCAGAGAAAAACTTGGGGTTTTAAAGTGTCTCTTAATATCAAGAAGAAATTAACAACTGCTTCATCTGCTTCTGGGATAACAAAGGGCAGAGGGAAAAAGTCAGTGGTTTCAAGTGTGAGCAAAAGCTTTAACATTTTAGTGACCAAGCAGTCACTTGGATCAACCATGGGGAAACCGGGAGTATTACTATACAGAGTAAGTTTATAAAGGTTAAAATATATCGCTTGAACTTACCAGGTGTACTCGTTGAAGAGGCCTTAGAAGGTATGGGCTCTGAATCTTCCTAAACACAAAGAAATAAATATTAAAATATCACAAACCCGTCGTACATAGTGTTTATACTTCCATTTCCAATAACCCTTCTGCTGTTTCCCACCTTTTCTTTCATCGATCTGAGACTCTTCCTTCTCTCACCTTCCCAGCATCTCCCCGTCCTGTATCCCCGTAACTCCTCGCCTCAAGTGTTCTCGCTGACAACGGCACTAGCCAATGCCATCAGGCCAGACGGAGGAGACAGGCTGGAGGGATGCCATCACAGAGGCCCAACGGAGCAGCAAAAGCAACTCTACCATTCATTCAACACCAGCCTATGGAGCAGGTAAGGCCGAGTTTGCCCAGCCTAACTGGGGAGGAGGGAATAGCTAATAACCACAAGGCTCTCAGGGGACACATTTGAAAACTGCTGATTCAATCTTAGTCTTTCATTTTAAATACAAGGAAATGGAGGTTCTAAGAGGAAAAGCCAAAACCAAAAAAAAAAAAAAAGCCTAAGTAAAAGATCATTCACTCATTTAACGATAGATTTGGGTAAAGATTTAAATGCTGTAGGCCTGAACTTAGGGCTTTTCCTCAGAGCTCCATGTTTTCCTAGGAATGTCATTAAAAATTATAAATAATACTCATAACAAGCTGTTTTTAACATCTGAAGAGTAAAAAAACCACGCAATTGGTAAGTTCAAACCAATCTTTTACACGATTTCCTGAAAGAGCTATGCTTAAGCCTCACACATCCAGGTGCGTAGACTATTAACTTACATTTTTGTCCTCTTTTTGTTCTGTTTCTATTGTTGATCCCTTTTCAGCAATTCTTCTCCTAAAAAGAAGGTAAATCAGATTTAAAAAAAAAAAATAATCTAACTTAGTATAAAAACTATTCTAAAAGGGAAGAACTGCATCTAGTTAAATTATATTTTGGAAAAAAATTAAGAAAAAACCCTGAACTCTGAGCACATGCACAGACTTCCTCACTCACCTCCTGGCCAGAAGGGCACTCATTTCCTCCATTAAACCGCTACCCCCTAGAGGGAGGGGTCCGTTTCCACGACCTGCGTCTGATTTGGATGAGGCCGAGTTCACACCAACGGCATTGCCCCCACTTGGGAAGGAGCCATCCTCCATCTTAATGAAACATACATGCATAATAAACTCCTATGTCAAACGATACTGTGTTTATTACCACATTACATTCAAAACAGAAGACTATATCAGCATTGATTTCAATAAAACCCTCTATTTTAAACCTTCTTAGGAACCAGCAGGGTGAAAAGCACTGGCCTTGTTACATAATAGAAGTTTCCTCAGAGGCACCGTCACCAATGGCGCGTAACACTGCGCCACAGACTCCTGGGCGTGGTGTCCTGAAAAGGACACACGACTCGGGGGGTAAAAAATGCATAATCTGCCCCCAAAATGCACAGCCTGATTCTAATTCGGAGGAAACATCAGATAAAACAAACTGAAGAATGAACTACAAAACATGGTTTTACAGTCTTCAAAAATGTCAGCATCACGAAAGACTGAGGAATTGTTACAAATTAAAGTGAATTAAAGAGACACTGCAGTTAAAAATAATGACTGATCCTGGACTTGAAAAAATTTGCCATGAAAGACATTATTGGACAATAGATGAAACTGGAATAGAGTTGTAGATTACAGTATTCTATCAATAAAGTTGCCTGACTTTGATAATTACACTGTGGCCATGTAGGTGAATGTCCTTGTTCTTACAAAAAACACAATGAAGTATTTCGGGAAACAGGGGTTTCTCATTTCAGACAAAAGTAAAGTGTGTGTGTGTATTCATGCAGAAGGAAATGCACACAGTGAAAAGAATAAAGGAAATATAATAAAATATTAACTGGTAAGTTTGGCTGTTGGGTTTACAGAAATTCTATTATTCTTGCAACTTTTCCCTAAATTTAAATTCTTTCAGTTTTTAAGAATCTTTTCAATTTTTCAATGAATTTAAATTAACATAGGATTCATAAAATTAGAGCGCAGTAAATTCAGTATTTTAGATATCGAGCAAGAATAAGACATACACAAAAATACAGTAATTTGGAAACGCATTTACCCGTGACACTTTCCTAAGTTTTGCTCCAGCAATGGCAGCTGCCAGTCCAGTTAAGGGGCGATTGTCTTCTGACGTGGATCCGGCAAAAAATCCAGAAGCAGGGAGGGGAGGAGCAGGAGGCGGGGGAGGAGGGGGTACCTGGTTCGGAAGGGGGGGTGGAGGAGGGGGTGGGGGAGGCCCTGAGGACGGAAGTGGAGGAGGAGGAGGGGGTCCTGGGGGAGGAGGAAGTGCCCCTGGAGCCTGGGCAGGACCTGGTGGGAGTGGAGGAGGGGGTGGAGGTGCAGGTGGTCCCAAGACAATGCCTGAGAGAAAGAAATGTTAAACGAGACCATCAACAACAGAGCTGAATGGCAGTACCTTCCATGGAACTGCGGGCAGAATGGCACGCTAAACTTAATGGGTGACTCAAACATTTACTACTTATTATTAATGAGTTTGATTTATCATAATGGTGAAAGTCTAGGTCAGATGCTAACATTAAAGTAAGTAGTTGTACACTTTGGTTTTAGTGTACAACTACTTACTTTAATGTTAGAGCTTTATTAACAGAACTATGCAACAGATCATCTAACAATCAGAATTTTTTTGTTTGTGGGGATTTAGTAAATAAACAAAATAAAGGCTTATGAAATTTGGAAGAGAGGTAGTATCCCGGAAGAAACAAACTACTGTATATGATGGCAGTTAGTACTGTTTGAAATAGCAAACCCCGGATAATCTGTGTAAACCCTAAGTGTTGTGACAATAAATTCTACAATAGAGAAAACATGTACTTCTTTGTTTACAGGCAGCCAAAGGGGCTGGACTGAGAACATCAAGGGTGGTGGGTCCCAGGCATCCACATCTCAAGTCATTACACTTGAACTCCAGTGTGTAGCGAGAATCAAGAATCACTGAAGTTAAGGAATCTCTACAATGGAAAACCTCAAAGTAACAACCAGAAATCATTACGTGACGCAGAAGTTGAAGCACAGAGGTGTTTTTAGGCTAGAAGACAAGGTAAGAGGAAAATGTCCAACTCTTCTAAAATCACGGAGTGAAGAAGAACTTGTATCGGAAAATACAACTAGTAGGTGCTCCCTTCCTTTAGGCTAAAAAAAGGGTGTTTTAGGACAAATAAAATGCTATTTGCATACTGAGGGGTACAGCTTTGGAAACTGCTACCTTTGAATAGTTCCACAAGCTGAAAACAAAAATTGCTTCCAGAAGAGTGCTGAGCCTAGGCTGTCAATCTTCCAGGAGTGGCTGTCGGGCTAATAACTGTGCCTCTCTTGCCTGTCCAGCATGACTGCCACATTGATACTAAACTAGAATTTTGACTCGACGTGTATGCAAATGTGAGAAGTCAACAAGAAAAATGCATACAGAGCAGTAATGAGCCTTATCTTAAGAACTAAGAGTTTTTAAAAGAGCCATGTTTAAATCCAGAATATAACACTGTTTCTTTGTAGCACCAACTTGTTGTCCTATTCCCTCCTGTAATTCCTGCGGAATCCTATTTCTAAAAAAAAGGGGGGAGGGTTGCTAAGCATCTTCTTATTTACATACGGAGCTAGGTCCTTCTCTACTTACAAATAATCCCTACTTAGGAGTATGTTACCATGACAGCAAGGTCCAGGCAAGGGGGGGAGGGAATGGGGGAAGGAATAACTATAGAAGCTGCTATTCTCTCTCAACTATCTCTTTTGCCCACTACTTCTTGTAATTCTGGACCCTGGAACCCTTCGGGGCAGATACCAAGCCTGCCATCCATGCCCGCCCGCCCGCCCTGCCGCCCCTGGCTGCTCCACAGGGCTGAGGAGCGCCGCCCCTGGGAGGCCAATATGGGAAGCTCCAGGCAGGAAAGAAAGACCAGAGTGGAACAGGGTCCCAGATTGGAACTGCTGCAGAGGAGACACGAGGGTGACATATGTAATGACTACAGCTGGGCACCAAATATACTCTAAGTTTTACAGAAATGAAGGGGAGACAAGTCAGAGCATGTACGTATTGTGTAGCTCAAGTATGCCATGTAATAGTTCCTCAGTGAAATTGAAAAGTAATGTATTAAGGACACCTTTAAATACTGGAAAACACCTCCAATGGTGACCCTGCCGAAGATACCAAAATCCAGTTCAATGCGGAAATTCCTCCCCTTCATCCTCCCAATACGATTAATGCAACAGAAAAGAAAGCCACTCTAATTCTGTACACTAGAAAAAATATGGTGCTATGGCATAACGATGTTCAGCTCTCAACCCCCGCCCCCCGTTCTTCTGGCGAGTCCACCAGATGTCGACATGGGACACGTCCAAGTGACCGGCTGTGAGCAGCAATAACGGAGCCTTACCCGGTGGGGCTGGAGTCTCGGCCGGCTGAGCGGCTGCCTGCAAGCCTGGCTCAGAAGCAGAGGAGTCTCCCAGCACAGAGTTTAGAGGAGTCTCCACAGAGGCAGGGGCAGCTGCAGAGGGAGAAGGGAGAACACTAGGCTTGGATGAGGGAGTTGAGGCAACAGGGGTGCTTGGAGGAGGAGAAGCTTGAGGTCCACAGTGTGACAGTGGCGCGAGGGGAGGCAGTGGAGGCGGCGGCGGCGGCGGCGCTGGCCCTGAGGTAGGCGGCGGAGACACTGGGTGTGTGACAGAGTCCAGCAGCCCAGTGGGTGCTGTTGGTGATGGAGGCATTTGGGGCACAGGAGAAGAAACACAGACAGGGAGGACAGGCCTCGGACCAGCAGCTTTGCCAGGGGGGCTGCTGATCATTACTGGAGGAGACGGAGGGAGGGGCGAGAAACTGGAAGGAGACCAGGCACAGGGCTTCGCAGCAGGAGGCTGAGAAGAGGGTGCGTTCACAGGAGAAGAAGGCCGAGAGCTTTTGTGCAGAGGACGAGGAGCTGTAGCGTAATGGGGAAGGACGGGGTGGAAGGCTGACCCTAAGGAGGTTGCAAAACGTGTCGCTGAGTGTCGCAGTGGTGGTGTGGGGGGTGTGGAAGTAGGTGGCAAAGCGGTCACTACAGCGTAATCAGGAGTGGCCTCTGACACTGCAGCGGAGATGACTTTAGCGTGTGATGGAGGAGGTGCCGGAGGAGGCTGGCAACTGGCATACTCGGGAAGTGGAGCGCTATACAGGGAGCTGTCGGAAGGTGGCGCTGGACAGAGGTGGAAAGCAGCAGCAAAGACAGGATAAAAAAGGAGAGAGAAAAAGGGAGCTAGTAAAGCCACAAAACCAGCATTCAGACAAAATGTATAAAAGTAGACTACAGTTAGTACAGAGAATCAGGCACGTGTGCAAATAACTGATTCCACCTGAGAATACTCATAAACACGTTTTTGAGATCCAGAGAGAATGAAATTAGTTTTCTTTCTATCTAATAGGTAGACTGATAAGTTAAACTGATTAGCTTATCCTTTACAAGGAAAACACAGTACCTGTAGTCTTACTTTTCCTTATTTAGTCCACCAAAAGATTATACGAATAAAGGCCACAAACAGAAGATTAAGTTCCGCTGTTTTTTTTAAAAAACAACAAATAGCCAAACTGGCAAATGTTTATGATAAAGAACTAGGAACCCCCCAATTCAATGTCTATTTGTGGAAAAGTTTTGTTTTGTTGGCCATAACCCCAAAAAATAATTAGGGAGGTAAAGGCAAAAAATTAACTCAAACAACAAACCAGTCAACTGATACTTAACCAGCCTACACTGCGACTTTTCGTATAGGCCATATGGAATAAAAACTAATTCTGAAGTCCTATAATAAATGTTCATTTCAATCAATGTCAAAAGACCTCAAGCTTTCAGTCATCTTTTAATCCGTGGGTCTCTCAATAAATTTCATCATTTAGAAATTTTCACAATACTAAAAAATATATTGAAATAACTAGTCGGTTTTAGAGAAGCTATTTTTCACCTACTGTTTTCAATTCCTCCTTCGAAAACTGAGGAAACAATTAGGCAAATGTCTTGCTGAACGGCATTCTAATACTCAGGCAGTCAAGACAATTTAAGCAAACCTCAAAAGGGAAATATAGTCCAAGTTCCTCCAATATAAAAAAATTCATAAAAACACTTATACTTTATAGCCAATTTATAGGCAGTTAGACGAGTTAGAATGCCAGAATAAAAACTTCCAAGAGCTTTCTTTAAGTCTCCAAGCAATAAAAGCAATAGAGAGAAATAAAAAGAAAATGTTAAAGTAGCAATTGTTGCTTTATGAACTTTTTCATAATTTCCGATCTACTGCTCCACCCCGACCAACTCAAGTGTGAAACGCTCTAATACAGGGCTCCACCAAACGCCATCCACCCTCCCAGCTCGGATGCCAAGCCCACGGAACAGCATGCCAGTGTCTTACCAGTGCTGGATATTCTCCGCTCCCGCTCCCACTCCAGCTGCTCCCGCTCCAGCTGCTCCTGCCGCTCACGCTCCAGCCGCTCCCGCTCCTGCCGCTCGCGCTCCAACCTCTCCTGCCGCTCGCGCTCCCGCTCCACCCGCTCCAGCCGCTCGCGCTCCAGCTGCTCCTGCTCCAGGCGCTCCCGTTCCAGCCTCTCCCTCTCGGACCGCTCCCTCTCCAGCCGCTCCCTTTCCATCCTTTCTCTCTCCAGCCTTTCCCGCTCCAGCTCCTTCTGTCGTTGCTGTTCTTGAAGTTGCCTGAAATTGTAAACAAAATATTTTAAAATATGCATCTCTGGCTACTCATCGTGAAAATTCGTTTCTTTCACAATGAACCTACATGAACCTCATTTCTGATTCAAATACAAAGCCACATGGCACATGTAATCAACATCTCTCCCCCACTGAAGGGCTACTTTGAATAGAGATGACCTACGAGTTTCATATAAATGAAAATAATTTCTCTTAATAGGATCAGTTTTGACTGACTGCCTCAGCACATTAAGCTGTCTCTTTTTTTTAAAAGTTAGCTTTTTAAAAAATATTTTATTTATTTATTTTTAGAGAGGGAGAAGGGACGAAGAGTGGGAGAGTAACATTGATGTGTGAGAGAAACACCCAACTGGTTGCCTCTCACACACACCCCTACTGGGGACGGGACCCACAAACCAGGCACTTGCCCTGGCCAGGAATCGAACTAGCAACCTTTAGCTTTGTAGGGCAGCATCCAACCAAATGAGCCACACCAGTCAGGGCAAAATATCTCGTTTTATTCTGTACTTTTTATGAATAAAATATTGCCGATGAATGAATTTTCCAAATAGCTGACTATATATAATTTTAATAACCAAGGCATTATTTAATCGATAAAAAAATCCTCAATTTTAATTTCCTTTCTAAAACATGACCCTAAAACTTCATTGTACAAGTAATGCATTATCACTTTAGAAAATACAATAGCTGACCATAGGAATAGCTTGAACAAAGCTTCCTAAATGAAAAACAAAACCAAACCCCTGAGTTAAGTAAGAAGAAATAAAGTTTAAGGCAACGTAAGTCTCATATCCAGACAAACTATCATTAACATGTTGGCATTCATACTTGCAGACTTTTCCTTCTGTAAATACATAAACTTTTAAAAAACAAATAAAATAGAATAATATTTACCTACCATTCTCAAATCTGTTTTCTTCTCTCCCACTTAATGTACTACAAAAGGTAGTCTAAGGCACTAAGCACAGTTTTGCATCTTTACTTTTCACGACCGCACAGTGTTCTATTGTTGACCTGTCCACAGTTTAAGCAGTCACCGACAGCCGAACGTGTTAGTCTAATACTGTTACTATTACTGACTGCAATAAACGCTTTATCTTCATTCCCCTTTGAATCCTTTTTTTAACCACATCTTAAGGATCACTATTGACACCTTACTTGCTAAGTGAAAGATGTTTTGTTTTGTAATATAACTTTTAATCTTCATGTCGAAATCTAGTAGTAGTATTCATTCCCCTTTGAACCCTTTTTAAACCGCATCTTAAGGATCGCTACTGACACATTATTTGTTAAGTGAAAAGATGCATTTTGCTTTGTACCACGGCTTTTAATCTCCATGTAGAAATCTAGTGGTAGAATTCCCTTCTGGGATCTGCCTTGAATGCTCTTGTTAGGCAGCTCTCTTGCACCAGCCCTTCTTTTAGTACTTTTTTTTTTTTTTTTCAATGAAATCCTTAGTTCACGTGAAATTCACCTTGAGTTTGAGGTGTGAAGCAGTACGCTACCTCACACACCACTTGCTCTACAGCTGACAGGCCCGATTTAAGACGGCACCTTTATACACGTGTGTGCTGACAGCTTCTGAACTTCCAGGACGTTTTTGTTCATAGGTCTGTTTGTCTAATACGGCACCAGTATCTTGGTCCTCTGATACCTGATACGTACATACTTTAGTACCTAGTAAAGAGCACCCCGTCCATCCTTACTATTCTCCTTATATTAAAAACTTGCAGAGACCTATGTATGTGGCTCTAAAACACACAGTTTGCTTACTGCCTTCCATACACATGTGTAAAAGAACAATAAAATGTCCCCCAAGTTCCCATCTGGATCTAAACGATATTCTTGCTTAAAGAAGTTAACGTTCCAAAAAATTAAAAAGATAAAGAGTTATCCTCATCCTCCACAAAATATATTTATTTTGTAGCACTGTGAGGAAGATGAAGTGAGGCAAGGCCTTAAAACCCCTTTAAAAAGTTCCTGCAACATAAGACCACTTGATAAATGTGAGCTATAATAATAATGATTTAAAAATTTCAAACTGGGACTTTCCCTGGCCTGGCTCACAAACTAGCCGGGTTTGGCTTACAGGCAGAGCTAAGCGATAGAACATATATGCTCTCCTTTGCTCCTCCCAGCAGCATCCATAAACCAGTAAGGCCTTTCCAGCAGTCTCTCCCATTCATGTTTCCTAAACTGACTATAAAACAAAGGAAAAGTCCACCTAAGTAAATTAATCCCACTTCTCTCACAGAAACACAAAGCCTCTCTCTGGACAGATCGCCACACTTAACAATAACTGCAAGAGAGAACCAGAAGAACCCCACGGCAGTGCTTATCGGGAGCAGCAGCTGTTTAGGCGACTGGCTACTGAACAATCAAGCCAGATTCTCAGGATGCAGTGCTGATTCCGCCACGCTACCAAGTCTCTGAGCGGTGACAAAACCACTGCAGGGATGAGGGCAAGAAACTAGGTGTATTCACAAGAATGTTTTTAAAAATAAACTGGACAGAGAACGTCAGTTATTGTTTTTTAATAACCTGCATCTAATGAATAAACTCAGCTAGGTCTTATATGAAATGGAAAACATTCAACATGTGTTCTTTAAAAAGGGCATTTTAAATGTAATACTCCGAGCAATCTATTGGGTCCAAAGGCAAACGATACACCCATATTTTTCTAATTAGAATATATCTGAATACAGAAGCTCAGGAAAAGTGCTTCACTTTAGATGACTAATAGCTGCACGAAGACATCAGTGATGAAAAGATCCAAGTTACTAGGTCGGTTTGTATCTCTGTGCCGCCTCTCACATTTTAATTTTATTAAAATAATATAAGCACCTAATGTTTAAAACTTGTGACAAAACCAGCAGTTCATCCCTCCAACCATCCCACTCATTTCCAACACATCAAAGACGATTACTGTCAGCTCTCTGGACGTGTCTTATGTTTTACCTTTAGATATTATATACTGACTTTCTAATGAGAACATCTTTTCCAACTCCCTCATCACACACAAGCTTTTCCCGGTAGTCACAGGAGAACGCTGATTTCTGCCGATTAAATCAATATTCAGTTTGTTGTTCAAGGGATAATGTAAATATTATTCACAGCTGGACCACATAGTATTCTAAGACTACATCTCATTTCTTACTCAAGTTGTTAGTTTTTGTTTTTTATGCCCAGGTTAATGGCTGCTTTGCTAAGCAATACAACACTTTTAACACAAAAAAGGAAATGGAAGTCACAAGCAGAAGATGGCCAGATATGAGTGAAGTGAATCTGAAAGAATTATGAATGATGGCATTTATAACGAAAGGTGTCCTGCCTTGAGAAGACTGTTCCATATGTCGTAATAGTCTAGGGTTTTCAGTCTGTAAAAGGCAGAGCATCCGCTGAAGTAAGGAAAGAACACAATTGCGAAGATTCCCCAAGTTCCTCAGCAGATGACTGATGTACACAGCTCAGGCAGCTGCAGGAGATCCTGCTGTTTATTTTCTTGGTTTGAGGTAAGAAAGAAAAGTGTTCTGAGTCCTAGCTAATTTTAGCCTGCTCAGTAAAAAAGGGGGTTAAAAAAAAAAAAAAAAAAAAAAGAGCACATCTAACTCTATTTCCCAAAGTAGTCTGTCAAACAGAAAAGTTCAGGTTTACAAATCTGTGGTATCCATCCCACCTAAACTGGGTGGTACATAAATCTTCCGACTTTCATTGTCCTCTAAAGCAGGAATTTGTATAGATGTTTATTGGACAGGTTACAAATGTATAAGTTCTGCTTTTTCTTAGAAAAAACCACTGCCAACTCACGGCCTGGACATGCACGTAAGATTCCCCTTCCTAGAGCTCTGTCTACAGTGCAGTTGTTCGTACGGAAAATAGCACCCCTGTGACCCTGCCTTTTGCCCTGCCCAGGAGAATCATCTGAGGACTTTTTGGAATACAAGAGCCCTAATTCTGAACTAGGGAAAAACTCTAGCAGACTACTTTTTCTTTGAAGTGAGGATATTCATTGTAAAATAATTTGAAATATATACATATATTTTCTCAGAAACAACTGCAGTGGTGATGACCAAAAGTATAGCCAAGAACATTTTAAAAACAGTATGAGAAATAGTTTCCCCCACCAACCAAATATCTATCTCTCCCCCAAAAGAGGTGTCCCCGTATACAGAGATATACAAAGCACTGGCCCAGGAGATTAATAGCTTTTGAATATATTCAAACACATACTTACTTTATGTTGACTCAAAGAGTGATGTTTTAAAGCAAGCAAAATATAAGTAACAAAATTGAAAGCTGTATTTCATTCAGCCTTACCTATACTAACCAGTGTTAGGGAAGTAAAGAGTGATTTAAATTTTGACATACTGAAGAAGGAGGGCAGACTAGGAAGGATGTTCTCGGTTGGTAACATTCAGTAACACTCTGATATTACTGACATTTGTCAGAAAACAAAACAGTAATTATGTTTGATCATAAAATGTGGACATTTCATGTCTCTATTAGCAAACAAATGAAAATGAATAAAGCTAAACCATATAATTAAGTTTTACCATTAGAAAGTTCCTGAGACAAGGGACAATACTTACAAGAGAAGGCGGTCAACTTTTGGTCCATCCTGCCTCTGCAGGCTGACCTGAGGTCTGTACACTTTCATTGCTCTGCTTCCTGCCTCTCTGTTGAGACTGTTATTTCCCTTTTATAACTTTCAGGTAGTAGTGGTGATTTGCAAGCTATTTATAGCTATTAACTACATTAAGTTCTATGTTGAGGCTAACTAACAGGACTGACTCATGTTTCTCAGAATATGTTTTTTCATCACAGTCAGTCAAGGAAGCCAAATATTAATCAGTTGGAATCAAAAACCAGTATTAGAAATGATACATATATGAGCAGAAAACTACATTATCATCATGGGACTAACAAAAAGATATTGGACTAGTAAGATTTACCATCTACAGTAAATGTTTTATCAACTCAATTTTACTTTCATTAAAAATAAAAAAGTTAAAAAGTATTGTACATACAAGGGGAGACCCCCCCCAAAAAAAACCACAATTATTTTCTGGACAGAGGGCCCTTGGAGTACAGGCTTCCCCCCCAGGTGAGTGTTCCGGGAGCCCCCCTGTATCAGTGTACCAGCTGGCATCACTGTGAGAGGCAGCATTTGGTCTCAGTGAATTTTATTTTTGAAGACTCAACACTTTTGCCCATTTCATGAGGGGTGAATTACGAGCACACCCGCCCACACCACACTGAGTGTTCAGCAGTTTTTGACCAAAAATAGTATGACCCTTGTGCCCCACCCTCTCTATTCACCTGATCTCACCCTCAGTGACTTTTTTGTTTGTTTCTCAGGATGAAAAAAAATCCTCAAAGAGAAATGTTTTGACAATGTGGAAAAGGTGAAGCGAAAAACAGTAGAAGCATTACAAAATCGGTGAGTTCAAAACCTGTTCTGAGCAGTGGAGAAAACGTCTTGCTAGGTGTATTGCATCAAATGGAGAGGACTTTGAGGCTGGCCAACATATAAACATGAAATAATGAATATGTGATTTTTAATAAATAAATTCCAAGTGTTTTGGGGGAAAGTCCCCATATATACTGAATATATATGGTACAGAAAAGAACAAAAAGGGAGAGAAAAATTAGCAAAAAGAAGAGACACTAGAATACAGAAAGGAAGGTAGAAAGTTTAAACTAGAAATTTAAGCAGCATGTCCAGCAGATTTGTGGAGACATAAAACAAATGGTGGAGAGAGAAAGAAGAGATGAAATTAATATTGAAAGAGAAAGAAACTGGTTTGGAAGGTTTACCTAAAAGGAAGAAGAGTCTGTGCGTAACTATAGACAGAAAATAATTTAAAAATCCGTATCATCTTTTTAGAAATCTGGATTTCACTCTACAAAATGCCTATAGTTTTCAACTAAACAAGTGTAAACATCTCTAATTTTCAAGCCCGTAAGTGTCTACCTACAGACCAACAGAACAACCCGAAGTCCAGATGAGCCCTGCTAGGACTGGCACTTGGATTGGAGGAGAAATATCTAAGAGTCATGGAGTTCCCTTAACAGTTACTAAAACTTCACTCAGTACTGATTCCCAACTATCACTGCGAGCCACAAGGTCTTGGCAAGCCAGCGCTCGGTGCAGCGGGTCTGCCGCCTGTGACCGGTGACAAGTCAGCGGTCCCTCCATGGGTCCTGCCACTACCCTGAACCGTCCTGGCCTCCAGCAACTGCAACTGTCTTAGATCATTTGCCCTCTCCCTACTTACCAAAATTATGTATTATGTTTTGTTTTGTTTTTTCTGGCTGTTCCTAGTTTCTATAAATGTGTTAGTCCCAATAATACTATGATCATTTTTTATTAATGACTTTCCTGGGGTGGGGCGGGGTGTGTGTGTGTGGGGGTGTGGGTGTGTCCGTCCGTCCGGGGTGGGTGTGTGCGCGCACGCTGGGGGCGGGGGTGTGCACACAATTTACAGTTTCTACCCCTTGGAATTATTCTGCTATGTTTAAAACTCTCAATAGGGAACTGAAATTATTCTATCTTATAAGCTTTATTTCTACAGAAACTTAATTTTATATACAAAATCTGCTGATGACAGCATCACTCAGAAGAGGGAGACAGATTTTCACCAAATCTGTAGGCTATTTCAGGAGTGATCTACCTGAATATACAGACTGTGGCACAGAAAATAATAATAATAATAATAATAATTATTATTATTATTATTAAGGCCTCCTGGAGGGCCTTCCTCAAGAGATAAGTAGTTAGTTTTATAACAAAGCAGAGAACATGAAATCATGGCAAGAGATTCCTCTGGCTGTTTGTCAGGGAAACATGGCACATGTATTAAGACAACATAGAGAATACAAGGAATGTTTCAAATGTAAGATCCAAATCAAAGGTCTCAAGAAGAAATGGCGGCTTCTCACGGAACAAATGCTTCTCAAATGAAAAAAACCATCCATGCGACAGTTATCAACTCTCCAGAACAAGGGTGACCTACTAGGGACAGGTCTAAAACATCGCTCGAGAGCCTTCGTTTGTTTCAAATGGGACGCTGGGTTTGACTAGCTCAATTTTAGTTACTGAATATACATGAATTTTAGAAAACAACTCTGTTGCAAAGTAGCTTATCATTCAGAGGTTCTGTTAATTAAAAAAAAAAATACACCTAAACGAGTCTGCACTATAATTTTAAATATATTTTTAAACTGCACTGAAATAATGAAGACAATGTTCTTGATCTCACTCCACCAAGAGCATGGCCATAAACAGAATGATTTCATGTTCCACTACTACACCCAATGGCACCGTCTCAGATCAATGTCTTACACAAAAGGCCAGAGCTATTTCAACTTTCTAGTTAGTCATGTGAAAGCCCTCACAAAAGCTGATTAATTTATAATTACAATAAAAATAAGACTCTCTGAAGTACAAACATGCTGTTTAAAATATTTAAATGCACATGAGTATGATTTCTATTAAAAAAAGGAGCTATGAAATTTTATTAACATCTTTTGCCCAGCATAACATGAATCTGCTCATTTATTAATGCTGATTCTGAAACGTAATCATATAACAATAAAAGTTCTGACTTTCAAATGGCTAACAAGACAATCTACTTTCAATATTAGGGTGTTCATAGTTTGGTCATCCAGAGTAGAATGAAAAAGTATAAACAATAACTACGAAATTTACCTTCTTTGAATTTCCAATTCTTCTTGTGAGGGGCCATTTTGAACTTGGGCAGGTAGCTGTGAGTTTTGTCTAGGCAATGTCGGCCCTAAAAAGGGAGGAGAACATTACAGATGAGCACTCCCTTGATATGTAGCTGGCTACAGATAAAACCATGAGGAAAACATAAAACCATCACATATTTACGAGATGTATCTTCTTTTTGTTTAGCAAAATAAAATATAAGCTTTACGTAACACGCAGCAAATGAAAGACTGCAACATAATACTGTCATCATCTCCAAAGGCTTACTTGAAACAAATGGAAAACATCAACAATAAAGGAAAAATAAACATTTATATATGAAGAGCTGAGTAAAACAAGTGTTCAATGAGCGTCTGGAAAGGCACCTACGCTTGACGTTTTCTAAGACAATGAGACATTCTCTTTGGGGTACTTATTCATGAAGTGCAGAGGGAGAACTTAAATGAAAAATCAGAATTCAAAAACTCACCTAAATAGAACACTGGAAATGAAAAACAGGAGAGAGAGAGAGCATGAGAACCTTATTACTAGACTGATGGATGCCAATGCATTTATCAAACTTGCTCAATTTCAGCTGCCATTCTTACTCACCAGCCTGGCACTGCCAGCACCGGTGAAAGCAAACTTCTGCTAAACTTAATACATAATTTACCTACGTATCGGACCTTTCAGTGTGACAGAGGCAATCTTCACTTTTCGTCGGGGTTAAAAAAAAAATCCTGCATTCAAATCAACATGGTTCTGTCACGAGAAACTAATAACCATCCATTTCCACACATCATGAACAAGGCAGACCTACTTTGAGCATCTGATAAAGAATGCCACTAAATTATGGGATTTTAATAGCACTGGCTATAAAAATTAAATATGTCATAGACCAAGATAAACAATGAACCTAATATACAGTGCCTAGGGTTACAAAAGAACAGTACTGAAATCCAATCCAGTGAACAAGAGAATAAAGAAATAGTTATCTTCCACTCTTGGAGAGAAATATACATATCTGTGAATTCTAGGGTGCTGGCAAATGCCCAGCAGATATTTTAAAAGTGCTTCATAGATCACTAGTACAAAAAAGTTAATAAATGCTTCTAAAGCCAATTATCGTAATCTATGAAATACCGGCACAAAGTATTTTATATTAGTGGAGTCGATTTCACAACCAGAAGGAGGAGGCTCATGGAAATGTAATACAGAACTGGTTTATCCCAAGTGCAGAAAAACAAATAATTTGATCTGAACTTACCTACTAATTTTTCCTCATCTCTTTCACATACTTTTTTACATTAATCATTTAATTTGTCCTCTAAAGACAAATTAGATAATAACTGCAGTGATATGTTTCATTTGATTTCCTAAGAGTCTGCTATTTTGAGAACCACAAAATATATTAATCCTATGTAATCAGTAACAACAACAACAAAAATCAAGAAACTTTTTAAATTGAAATTAAATACACACTTAAATGTTTGCATAAATGAAAATATGTAACTTGTCTAATGAACAGAATGGGATTCTTTCCTTCTTTAGAAAATATAATAATGGAAAAGTACTGTTATATACTAACGGTTAATACTTGACAGGGGAAAGATGTCTAGTCTTTTTTGGCAGAAGGGGTCCATACAAGGGAGGAGGTTAAATTTGAGAAAATGTAAATTATTTGGGGCAAATATTTTACCTATCCAAAGTTATAGTTACCCGACAATATTAAATGGGCAACTCACAAGGCTATTTTGGTTTAATTATTTTTAGAAAATAATGTATTTCGGTGAAAACCTCAGAGCACTCACATAATTGAACAGCCGGATGCCAGCAGGTTAGACTTCTCTGGCGTCCACCCCAAGTAAGAATGCGCACATACTGCTCCACCTGGGGCCAGCCGCACACCTCAACAGTATTCACAGACACACTCACCAATTAAAATCTATCAATGTAGGTGCTCACTCAAATATACAAATTCAAGAAACAGATGTCGAAATGTCAACTCAACTCTACTGGTTTTATTAAACAGGTTTAAAAAAAAAAACTAACAAAAGCTAACATAACTCACACAAAAAAATCTGAATGAGAGAGTATCTTAGCAATTTATGGAAACTTTTGGGGGTTTTTTTAAGTTAAAAGTTTACTCAGCAAATGATTTAATAATAATTGACTATCATTTATTCATGAAGCTGAGAAGCAAAGAAAATCTTCATAGAAGATCCTTTTAAAATGGGGGTGGTGTGGGAGGATTTGATCCAAAATCAACTCTTAAAAGTCTTTCTACACGGTTCTTGTGATAATGGGCTATGTGTCTTTCCACAGACACTCTTTAAATGGGGGGCAGGAGAGAAGCGTTTGGCATTTTCTCACATCTTTATTTAATCTGGTGGCTGTGTTTGTTCCTTCTTCGTCAATATTGCCAAGTCACAATACTGAGCAAACTGAAGAAATGCATTTTAAAATAATATTCTGTAAGCATTAAATAAAAGAGTTCTAGGTAAATTATGAGCTTCAGGTACACAATTACACTTTTTCTTCTTGGCAAGCGTTCTGCGGGGTTAGACAACTGGTAAGTTGTACCAAAGGCACCACACACAATGTGAAACAGCAACTAAGATCGGGCAAGGCCATCAGCTGCCACTGTATTTTCCAGAATAGAACTCTACTCACTTCACACAGGCCATATTTCTACATTAGTGTCTGTGTTCCCACAGAATACAAAAAAGGTCCTTTCCTAAACAGTGGGCAAATGACAATATTTTAGGAGCATAATATGGTGGTTAACAGTTCTCTTTTGGAACAAAAAAGAGAAGAAACCAGTAAACCTACTTTGTTCCTGCTATATTATCATAAAGAACAATAGCAATTTGAGGGTTAATTTGGCTAGTTTTCTCTGTTTAATTACCATAGCCAAAGACATTGGTTGATCTTAATTTGTCCTGGCTAGAATTCATATAGCAAAGTATGTGAATTACAGTTTCTAATAAAGAAAATGTGTCCATGTCGCTGAAATGCTAGCCTATAAATAATGACAGAGTCAGAAGAGAATCTCTAAGTCAGGACTGAATGGCAATTCAGTCCTGACTCCAATACTGAGTTCTGGCTAAAGCGCATTTTACTTATAACATTTTAATTTTCACAAATACAGTTTCACGCGTAGCCACAGACTATTTAAAAACACAGGACCAAAAGACAAATAGTGTCATTATATACAATACAATCAAGTTTAAACTTTGCAATGTGGTAAATTTATTGTTTGTACAACTCAAGGTAATAACGGGGAAATATGCTTTTTAACACATAATTTTACAACTTAAAAAGTTCACTTCTATTAAGGCCAAATCAATCTTCTCTCCTCAGTTGGGTAAACTGCATCTATTATTCTGCAGGTGGAGCTCAACATATTCAGGAGCAAATACAGAACATCAAGTAGGTTTCCAAAAAAACTCAGGAGTCCTAGGGACACAAATAGGAATCATCACTCAGGGCTGGTTCAGAAGAAGGCCTGGAAGAACCCCCAAGAGGAGGCAGGAAATTCAGAATTAAAAGTTGCTGATGAAACACTTAACCTGCAATGATTAATCGTGGATTCTGGGGAGAAGAGGGCACTTATGAAGAGTTAAACTATGGGCTCCTGGCTACAACTGAATCACCTGGAGCAACCGTTAAGTAGAACAAGAAATACACTAGCATTTTCATTTTTGAAAATTTATAATGCTCTTTTTTGCCTAAACTATCAGGTATATAAATTTTAAAATAATTATCTTCATAGATAAAGAAACAATACCAGTGATACTGGAGAATTACATGAAAAACTGAGTCACATGGATAAAGTATATATACACAGCTGAACTGTTTTTATAAAACTTTAGCAGTATGCCACTTTATAATTTTATCTCCCATTTAAAAAATCTGGCCAGGTATACAGGAACCAAAAAAAAAAGGTATATATGTTTTAAAAAAACTAAAAAGCACTAAGATTTGACAGCCACTTTCTGAACATGGGTTGTCAAAACAAAGTTTTAGACTCAAATGAGGATAAAAAGAATTCAGAAAGGATGTGTGTGTGTGTGTGTAGATAGCCCTTGTGCAAGGCTAAGGAAATGCACATACCCTTAGGTAACTGGAATTTGGGGCGGCTAAGTGACACATCTGGTTGGTCCACACAAACGATACACACATGTGTCTATGAGTGAAAGAAGACACTCCATAAAGCCTAAATTCGCTCCTGAGCCACAGATAGTAACCGCTGAATCAAAGGGACTGGCAATCAGAAGTCAACCTGCTAAGGCAAGAGGAAGTGTGCATCTGCCTGGCAGATGTGTACACCTAGAAATTACCTCAAGTTCGGCAAAAGCTCCCTCCTGAGAAGGCACATTTACCTTCCCCAAATCATAGTAAGATGGATTCCACCCCCCTTAAATGCCAAATTAAAAGGCTGCTCTCAAACGAAAGAGTTAAAAACGAAAAGGAACAAAAAAACCCTCTCTCGTTCGTGTTGAAACAAGAGAACGAGAGTTAGTTTGAAGACCCTAATTCGAATTAAATCCTCACTAAGACGCCAACTCAGAAGCTGACCAAGTACCTACATGAACCACAACAAATATCACAACATAAAACGGTAGCTTGCTGGATATCCCAAATACCACAAAACCAGACTATGGCCTAAGGAAACAAAAGTTATGGAGATGTGCAAGTAGTATGTACCACAGCTTGAAAAAGTAATGTAAAGGTAATGTTGCTTACCACAGAAAATACATCGCAAATTAGTGCTGTCCTGCGTGGCAGTAACCTTGCTCTGGGCTGCAACAGACACCTTGGTGTTAGAAGCTTCGAAGGACAAAGGGGCCATCTGAAGAAGTTCACACAAACTAAGAGGCGCTTGGAAAGGTTCACAGTGTATTTATACATCCTTCCTATCTAAATCCTCGTTCTGGAAGCTCTGTAATTTAATAAAAACGTGGCCTCTTTAACATGAGCTTTTAAAAATGTTAGGCGCAATCTTATTTGTTGGAAAAACCCTGTCAGCCACAGTTCAAATGATGCTCTTACAGCTTAATTATTTCCTGAGTTACACAATGA